TTCGCCATTCGCCTATCCTCTGTCCTCACAACCAACCGACTCTTCCCCTTCTAATATCCCCAGAACCGACTTCGCCATTCGATGTTCACTCAATTTCGCGGTTCTAATCCCCGCCATCTTCGCGGAAAATGAGGCCGCAGAGATCAAAGCCGCTCACTTTGAAGAATCCATGAAATTCGCTCGAAGAAGTGTCAGTGACACTGACATCCGCAAGTACCAGGCATTCGCGCAGACCCTTCAGCAGTCTAGGGGTTTCGGGAACGAGTTCCGCTTCTCAGAGCGGTCGGAGCCTGCGGCTGGCGCCGGATCTGACCCCTTTGCAACCTCTGCTGCGGCTGCAGACGATGATGATTTATACAACTAAATTAACATACGCTTTGGTTTTAAAGACTTCTTTTAGATTATTTGTTTATGGTGCATGTGATTTCTTCAACTCTGGGATACGCTTCCAGTTTATGACTGATGATTTAAGAAAGAACACGCATGAAGGGAAAACTGGGATGCATTGTCTCTGTCACTGGTATTCATGTCCATTATTATTGTGAATATGAATGAGTATTTAGACAATAGATTTTGAAGTGTATATGTATACACGTGTCATCAACAAAAGGGAAAATCATTGTGAATGTGTTATTAGTTAACTAGCGTCAATACATCAGCAAAGGCCGTTTTGAACCGTCGTGACGCATTAATAATAGTGGATAACACCATCGCAACTACTAATGATAGTAAATAGTAGCATCGTAAATTTGAATGACAGTTACGTAATCCCAGCAAGAATAGATGCTACTTCAGGTTTTAAAGTAATTGACGCCAGGAGTTTGTTTGGGCCTTGGTTCCTCAAACCGATATACCACTTTCATGCATCCCCCCTTGCCTCTGCCTATGCGAGTCCAAAGTAACCCGATGTTGTAACAACGGAATATGTCAAAGACGCAGGTTCAGGTATGTCTTTCTCCCCGAGTGAAATGCGGCTCGAGCCGCGAGGTCCCACTGTCTTTTTTGATCAAATATTATCAAACGGCGAAGCCTGGCTTTCAGCTATCTTTTAACTTCCACACAAAAAGAGAAAGACGAATTGCATATATGATTATGGTTTGCTATCTTCCCGAAGATACCAAGCGGAAGAACAATTGGGCGGTGTGTCACCCTCACAGATCTATCCAAGTCATCATTTTTTCAAGAATAAGTGAAATAATATTACGTAATCCCCTGAAATGCAAACTCTTATCTATTTCTATTTTTAATTTTATTTTAGGAGTATATTTGCAATGTCATGCAGATTTTTAAATTTAAATTGATGGCAACAACAACTCTATTTCTATTTCAATGACAATCCAAACAAGAATAAAATGGAAGCAACATGTATTAATTACTTCCTAGTAATATTTTCAAATATTATCCAAACAAAAAAAAGTAAATGAAGAGGAAGAAGTTCTACTTCCATTACTTCTAAAAATATAAGAAACAAACAAAAAAAATGATATTTCCGCTACTTCCTACTACATAGTTTTGGAAGTTACTTCCGTAACATACTTCCTACTTCCATTATCCAAACGGGCCCTTAATGCATTGCCAAAACGGCACCCCCGAAATTCCGTGTGAGAACTTTGAAAGTTTGCGGGTTTTATGTGGCATCCCCGAAATTCGGGGGCTTGGTGGAATAGAAAATGTTCAGGGAGGTATCGTGGGAAACTCCTTAGGGCTGTCCATCCGGGCCGGCCCGGGCCAGGCAAAACCCAAGCCCGGACCCGGGCCCGGGTGGTCCGGGCCGGGTCCGGGCCCGGGCCCGGGCCTGAGCGGGCCGGACACCGGGCCGGCCCGGTTTGTTTTTTTTTTTAAATTTTGTTTTTTTTTATTTTTTTAAATTTTAACAAAACCATAAATTATAAATTATTATAAAAAATGTCATAAATTTTATTAATAACTTGAAATGAAATGACATAAATTACAAGTACAAAAAATGATAAAAATAACTTCTTTATTAATAATCGGTAAATCCTTTACAAGTATAAATTTATTTCGAAATTCGTCGCATCACAATAGATGAGTACATCCCAACTAGGTTGGCACCTACTCACCCATATCACTATCATTTGCAACTTTTTTCGAAATAATTTAATTCAAATTTAAAGCTAAGAAATAAAAATTACAATTTTATGAATATTATCTAATCATTATATCTATCTGCTAGTCCCAACTCTTCAAATTTATCTTCAATCATAGCAATCCGTTCGATGCCTTGTGTTCGCTTCTCGTATCTCCACCAATCCTGTAAGCACATCACCGCTTGTACAGTATACGGATCTAAGCATGTCCTGTGGTCGTCGATCAAACGTCCTGCTGTGCTGAAAGCGGATTCCGAGGCTACAGTCGAAACCTGCACTGATAGTAAGTCACGAACCATGGTGGAAAGTATAGGATATGAAACTGATCCATATACTTTCCACCATTGCAAAATATCTAAAGCATTTCCTTGACATCTAACTAAAGAAGCAGAAAAATATTCATCTATTTCAGAAACATCTAATCCTGATGAAGTTCCAGATCCACCAGTTAGTTCAGCTACCATTGCATACCTATCAAAACTTACACTTTTACCTCGACCTGTGCTCGAAGCTGAAGGTGCCGAAGCTGAAGACTGTTGTGTAGCTACACCATATCTAGCTGCATACTCATCATATAAGGTTTGAAAATAATTTCTAATAGCTAAATAATGAGTAGTAGCAGTAAGGGTGGATCCATCATCTAAGTCTATAATCTGTCCACCATACAATGATTGTAACAAACTTCGAAGGCCAATTTCCTTCAAGCATGGATCAATAAGAACACCAATACCAAAAATATGAGGAATAGGCCTAAAATACTTATTAAATTTACTCTCCATTTCAAAAATTATACTTCCAAAAATATCATCCATACGATATTTTGTAAAATTTTTTTGAATATTTAAAATTTGTAAAGCAGCTAAAGTAATAGTTGGATAATAACAACCAGATAATAACATAGTAGCATCATAAAAAACTTGTAACATCTCATTTAATTTACATATAACTGTCCATTCATCTTCAGTTATTCCATAAGCACTACCAGAGCTAGAACTAGAAGCATAAAAATTTATAAAATCATTTATAATTTCTTTATATTCTATTGCTACAGATAACATTGCATAGGTGGAATTCCACCTATGGTCAACATCTTTTGGAATTAGTCTAGGCTTATAATTTTTTCTTTTACAACATTGTTTCCATCTTTTAATTCTCATTTCAGAAGCATTATGCATATTAGTAACTGTTCTAACTTTTTCTATCATGGGTTTAATTTCAGAAAATGCACTTTGAACAATTAAATTTAAAATATGACAGATACATCTAACATGAAAAAGCTCACCATGACATGGCAATGACAAAGTTATTTTCAGAAAATCAACAGCTACATTATTATTACTTGCATTATCTAGTGAAAGAGTAAATATTCTTTGATCAATTTCTAGTTTCATAAGTTCTTCAACAATTAAATTTGCAACATTAATACCAGTGTGTGACTCTTCAATTGCAATAAAAGAAACAACTCTTTTAAACATTTTCCAACTTTCATCAATCCAGTGTGCTGTTATACATAAATAACCAGTTTGCACTCTAGATGACCAAATATCAGAAGTTAAAGAAAATTTGCAGTTTAAATTTTTAAAATAAGAAATTATTTTTCCCTGTTCCTCAACATAATATTTTAAAATATCACGTTGACAGGTTTGACGAGAAAATTTTGTAAATGCAGGATAAAAACCATCTCTAAATAAATCTTCAAATTCATCATCTTCTACTAATTTAAAAGGAAGGTTTTTAAGAACAATAAACCTGATTACGCATTTCCGGGCTCGGGCAGCGTCATAATTCCAACTGCCGAGGGTACCTGAAGAGGATGATTGGGAAAGCATAGACTGCCGGATATCACCTTGTAGATTTTGGCCTTTGTTGTGTTTTTCAATATGCCGTTTGAGATGGTTGGTGCCGCTCTTATGATGAGCTTTGAATATCTGGCCGCACAACGCACATTTCGCATTCTGAGAGATGATCCTACCGTGTTCATCCTTGGTGACGTCTATCTTCTCAAAAAAATTCCATACATCAGACCTCGGCCTTTTTGGAGCTCTTGGTGCCGTAGATTCGTCGCCACCAGATTCAGGATTAACACCGGTAGGATGAGGAGTTGTTGTAGGAGGACTCATCTCTGGATCGGTAGGAGTTGCATGTTGCTCTTCATAATCAGACCCAGAAGCCATTTGTTGGAAGTATTAGAAAATACAAAAGATTATAGGATAGTATATTAGTATGAGATAGTATAAGATTGTATAAGAGAGTAGTAGAGAGAGAAATAGATGAGTTTTGTTGTGAGAAAATGAATTGAAACCCCCCCTCTATTTATAGAAGCAGCCCCCTAGGTAAATGACCAAAAAACCCTCGAAAAATAGCCGTTTTTTGACCGTTTTAAGGGGCAAAACGGTCAAAAGACCAAATCTGGCCGTTAGGCCAGATTTGGCCCGGGCCGGGCTGGGCAACGGTCACCTTTGTGACCGTTATGGCCGGGCCGGGCCGGGTCGGGCCTAAGTGACCGTTGTGGCCGGGCCGGGCCGGGCCGGTCCGGCCCGGCCCGGCCATTCGAAGAACCAGTGCCCATTTTTGGGCACTGTTCCGGGCCCGGGCCGGGCCCGGACAGGGTTCGCCAACGGCGACCCGGGCCCGGGCCCAGACCCGGGTTTTGCCCGGGTTTCCGGGCCCGGGCCGGGCCCGGGCCGGACACCGGGCCGGGTCCGGGCTCCGGGCTTTTTGGACACCCCTAAAACTCCTCAAAACATTTGGAGGCTTTTGTGAAACTTACCCTTGAAAAGAAAAATTTCAAGATTCCCAACAGCAATTAATTACAATTGGGCCACATCAATGACAAGTTGACAACAGAGGCCGAGATCATTTGATCTGGGCGGGCCCACGCAGTCTGATCCTGTCCAATTCCTCTTTTCCACCTCTCGATCCTCTCTCTCTCTCTCTCTCCCCTCTCGCTGCCTCCTCTCCTCTTTCACAACAATCTCAATTTCTTACCGAAAATAGCCAAAAAAAATAATAATGTCGATCGTCGTCGTCTTCGTCGTCGTCGTCCTCCTCCTAATTCAAGAATCATCATCGACGATGAACGGCATGAGCGCGTACGACGTCCTCCGATCCCACGGCCTCCCCATCGGCCTCCTCCCCAAATCCACTCGCAACTCACCGTTCGACCCCTCCGGCAGCTTCGACTTCAGCCGCCTCGCCGATCCCTGCACCGCTAACTTCGAGACGGTGTTCCGCTACGCCGCCGCCGTCAACGGCACGATCAGCTACGGGAAGATCGCATCGCTCCGCGGCGTCGAGGCGCAGGAGCTCTTCCTCTGGTTCCCTGTTCATGAGATCCGCGTCGATGTGCCGAGCTCCGGATTGATTCATTTTGACGTCGGGGTAATTCACAAGCAGCTCTCGCTCTCGCTGTTCGAGACCCCGCAGGATTGTGTCCCCTGTCATTATGCCGGTGGCAATGGCGATGGCGATGGGTCAAAGGTTTGATCTGCGATCCATTGATTATTAGATCAGCGTCTTTTTGGATTAATTCTTTTAATTTTGACGGATTTAGGGTTAAATAGGTAAAATTTCAAACAATTGGGAATTTTTGGGTGTTTTTTGAGCAATTTTAAACTTGGTGAAATTTTAGGGCATTGAAGTGCAAAATTAAAAATAGGTGAAATTTAGGGGATTAAAGTGCGTATTTTGTTTCTAACCTTAGCCGGAAATTTGATCCAAATGTCGAATTGCAGAGCCAATTACGCGATGGGCTGGTTGAGGATGAAGATGAGATAGCTGTGTTTTGATACAAATGTGTCAGTTTCTTCGAGCTGTTGGATATTTTTGATCTTGTTGAGTGATCGGCTCGCTTTGTCTGTTCAAGATTGAAATTTTGATTGTGCTTGAAGACTGGTAGGTGGTTGAGGATTCGTTGATTGTTAAGTAAGGGAGGAAGGGATTGAGTCTGTAAAATGCGGCGATTTTTTATGTTATAGGCACTGGTGAATTCTTGAGGTAAGTTAGCCTCATAATTATATAAATTATGATTGATCTCTTATCTTTTGTTTGCACAATGTGATGAAATTTTATTGTATCCTATAGATTTGGAAATGGGTACGTTGGAGTTTGTTCGCGTTCTCACTGAAGTTTTTTATGTTCCTGATTATCAACAGAGAAAATGTTACTACAGCAAATGCTCTACGAAATTGACTGGCTAATATTTTGCCGTACTCATTCAACCTTACATTATCTCCGTTCATCTAACTGTAATCAGCACTAATAAACACATTAAACACGAAACTTGCAAACTTTTTTGCCATGTTACGAAACAATGAAACATATAATGTGATCATAGCATTTAACATGTGGAAGGCGCCATTATAAAGAAAGTGTAAATTGTGTTCTGACATTTCATTACGGTGCAGCTCTAGATCAGGTACCAGGGTGTCACAGCAGGATCATTACAAAAGAAAATTAGAACTCGAGTTGAATAAGTATTAATCAGATGTCTACAAGAGAAATCAACAAGAAAGCACACAATATAGTTTCCCCAGCCGCTTAAAGATAACGAAGACGAAAAAGGTGGGAAAATGCGTGTATTTGGCTTCCCTTAGCTTTCATCAGGCCTGTGTAGATTGGAAGCAGAATGGCACGACGAGCAATTAAGTGAGATGATATAACTAACAGCTTACGGATTTCGCAAACTTTTGAGCGAGGTTATATATTGTGGAGATTTCGATAGTCGTTTCTGAGCTAGTTATGTTTGCAGCTCCTTGGATAGCTGAGAGCGCATCTTAATCTAGGATTGTAGCAGGTAAGGATAAGAGTCTTAGCCTGTTCTCTTCAGCGCTTTCACTAGTAGTTTGTCCAGTATTGTCCCGAGACAAAAGCATGCAAATGAGCTTTTGTATTGTCCTGAGACAAAAGAGATTTGTCCGAGCGGCGTTTATCTCTTTAAAACAGGGTGGAGAAGGTGGGAGATAAATTTAATGGTTTAATAAAGGGTCCGATTAAATCAGTACATTACTCCCATTGATCGGCTTATATCAGTACTGGAACATACAAAACAAATTATTCCCATTGATCCGATTAAATCAGTCCTAATATGTGATGTGATCAGAGCATCCCCCTTGTGAAAGAAATCACAAAGAAGAGTGTAAATCATGTTCTGATATTTTCATCACAGCATTCCTCTAGACCAGGTGTGCTAGGGTGTTTACCAACGGGACCACGATGAAGAGGACCTTGAAACTGGAATTGAGAACTATTAACAGGTGTTCCCGAAAGAAAAAGTCTCAGGCATTTATAAAATACGCGAAGATCTTGAACATGGTGGGTCGATTAAGGAAGCATCCATAGTATAATCAATAGATTTACGGTTATCTGTCGTATAAGCCAGGCGAGACAAGAGCTCATATATGATTCTCCAGAAACTGAGAAACATTTTTCTACTTTGGCGCTGTGTGTGATGTTCACTTCTTGAAACCAAGAAAACAAGTTAATGCATCAAGCTCTTCTTGGTTGACAAAAAAGAATCAAGATATCATGCATTTGGTTTCACTTAATACCTCATCAGGCCTGTAGAGATTGGTAACAGAATGACACAACAAGAAAGCATGTGATCAAAATAAATCATAGCTCTCACAAACTTCAAACAAAACTGAGATGACTTGCATTTTATGCTACTTGTTTGGTAGCCGAGAGCCTATCTTAGTCTTGGGAGGAGCAGGTGAGGATAAGATCCCCATGGCCTGTTCTCTTCAGTGATTCCACCAGCAGCTTGTCCAGTGTTGTCCTAAGAAGCATACAAAAGTAGTTTTTGACATTTTCTGCTTGATACAATAATAAATACATCTGTCAGAGCAGCAGTTATCTCAAGGATGCAGACGCTTGGAGGTATTTTTAATGTTTAAATAAAGGGTAAATAATAGAACATTCATAGAACAAGAGTTTAGAGGTGCATGAGAGTCGTCTAGCTTCTCTAACAAATCAGAATGAGTCGCTGCAAAATTCTTATGTCACGGGAAATTTTCTGCTATATATGCTTGAAGAAAAGCAAGACTTTAGAGGTGCATCTTTTAATTCTTCTTTTTTTTTCCTTTTTATTGTTCTGACACTTGAACTCTGCGATTAAAGTTTAAACGGAGGTGAGACCAATAAATAACTTGAAATTAAGTTCAGCACTTTGCAGCTGATGATCCTTAATTACTAAGTCTACTGCTGTTATAATATGTCATTAGTGGCATTTTCTTTCTTCTATGATCCTAACAAACAAAATACACCTCAATATCATGTGTCGGCAAGTTGACGTAGCATCTCAACCAAAGCCTCAGACTGCAAAGACTCAAACTATCACCTACTAGCCTACCTGCTCCTCTTGACCCTTCTCAAATCCTCAAGCCACATAAAAAGTTTGATAACTCAAAGACATAATTCTCCAAGCTGGGTCCAGCTCTGTATACTGCCATAAATTTACGCTTCGGAAAGCGATAAGCACAGCAAAGAGGCATAAACCAATCAGGCTGCATTCCTTCTGAAGAGAGCCACATGCCATTGTCAATCAACACTTGTGATGCGCCAGTTAAAAAAGCATTTAGTCCACGATTAGCGAACAAGAAAACTGAAGAGCCAAATTTCAGATCTTAACCTGGAAAGCTTATCTCGCATTCAGTTTGATTAAAAGGGAGGGTCGGTTACAGATTATATGCTAAACTTTCACGACGGAGCTGGACGTTCTTGGCTTCTTCTCATTCAAATTGCGCTCGAAGATCAAGAAATTAGAAGAATACATATCTGTTTGGCTTGGTGGGGGGGGAAAACAAAAAACAAAATCCTCTTATTGTCATGGTATTATGATTGCAAGGCGCAAAAAAAAACATAGACCACAATTGTCTTTGATAACGCCATAGACCACGCTTGTCTGTCATTGATGAGAAGCAGCCCATCTTCTTGTCTACATGTCATCAATGGCCGCAAAACTGAAAGAAGCGAGAAATACATCAGATCATCCAATGGCATGCCATTGATCCAGCTCATATAAAAAAACTAAGAAAAGTTTTAAAAAAAATTAAAAAATAAAAATCAGTTGAGATTTGCAATATTTTATCCTTAAATTTAAAAAAAAAGGGCGGGAGAGAGACCTCAGTTTCCATGACTTCACAATCTCAATATCAAACTGCAACTTGACTACCACACCCACCACCTTCGTCATCTCTCTTGTTCTCATCTCTTCTGATTCTCGAGACTGGGGGGTTGAGGATAAGATCCTCACGGCCAGTTCTATTAAGTCGTTTCACAGGTACTTTGGCCAATGTTGTCCTGAGATAGAGGCATTTGAAAGTCACTTTGACATTCTGTGTGCTGGAAGCAACACAGGAAGATTGGGAATGTAAAGAGATCTATCAGAGCAAGAGTTATCTCACGAAACAGGATGTAGCGGTTGGGAGCTAATATAACGTTTGAACAAAGAGTAAGGAGCAGAATGGTGATTACAGGTGTTCATCTCCTGAGAAAACTCAAGGGAAAGGTAAAGATGTTCATCTCCTAGAAAACGATAAACATGTAAGAAAGGGAAGGTAGCATTCAGGCTGCACCCTTCAGAAGAGAGCCACAAGCCTCTAATTAATCAATTACTGTAATGCAACAGTGTTGACGACGGCAGAGAGAGAGAGAGAGAGAGAGAGAGAGAGAGAGAGAGGGGGGGTGGGTGTTGGGTTTGCCGCCCTAGAAAACAGAACCAAACGCCGAAGAAGGACACAAATACAATCACAATAATGACAACAACCAAACAACAATTTACGTGGTTACTGGTAATTTCCTATCTCCACGGAGCTGGCACAAATAATTTCTATTTAATCACAATGAAAGTTACAAATAAGAGAGGATCTCAAACTTGAGACTTACTCAAATCAACAGTAGTGTTTTTAACAATCTCTCAATCAACGAGTAGACTTTTAAACTTATATTACACTGCCAATCTCTCTTCAACTCTCTCTCTTAATTACTCAAAGAAACCCCTTTAATTTCACCATAACAAACCCTTCTCCTCAATTATTGAGTAAGGATCAAATTTGGGGCCTTCCCAAATCGGAGAAATTCCCAACTCGTAAGCTGAATATTACAGTGGAAAAAAAACACCGCTTGCCTTCTCTGATCAAGCTCCCGGCGCTCTGTACATGGTTTCCCTTTATAGGGAATCCTAGGGCGAGCTCTCTTCAATCGGTGGATCCAGTCGGATCCCCCACAATCCATCAGGCGAACTTCGAACTAGGCAATGTCGAACGTCGTCCTTGTGTAGGCGAGCTCACGATATAAGCTGGCCTTCACCACGTAGGTCGAGCTCGACTTGATAGCAGCTTCGATTCCTCGCCCGTCCCTCTCAAAATCTCGCATCAGCGAGCTTCGATTCCACTTCGTGCCCAAGCTCTTCCTCTCCACGCTCTGCCTGCAGGCGTAGGTCGACCACGTACAATCCTCTAGGTGGTGGTTGGGGTGGGGGGGTGGTGGGGGTTGGCAGACAATTGCATTCATTGTGGGATTTATCTAATAAGATTTGTATGTAATGTTGGATCTGGGACTTGGTGGAGATGGTTTCGTCAGGGGGATCTACCTTGAGGGAAGTGGTGTGTCATTGACACCAGTTTTAACGTCATTATACTCTCTCGTTAGTTTCCAACTACCAATAGAGACATGTTTTCAAGCTTAACTCCAGGTTTACGCTCATAAAACCACAAAAACTACATGGGCGCATTTTACAGATTCAATAAAACCAATGAAAAAACATGTCCAATGGGTGGTATCCTGAACTAGGCTACAAGTACTATTGAGGCATGCGTATATCAATATTTCTCTCTCCCTAAATTATGCATAAAAGATTGGCTCCCTCGGCACATATTTTAATTGCCAGTGTGTGGTACTTATTTATTGATAGTGTACCAATTATTTATTTAATAATATTACTAATCGGTGTGATTAGTTTTCCTCAAATATGATTAACTATTCTCGTTACTTAATCATGGTTGACCCATTTCAGAAATCTTTAGGATCACGCACCGGTATATTATGCTCAGGTAACTGCCATAGAGTTGATCAATGGGTAGTCTCTAGTTATGGTTATTTGCTAAACCACTAAAAGTAATGAGTGCGGTGGATTTTCAGGGTTTATTGGTCCATAATTGTTTTCAAATTCAAGAAATTGTAAGATACATCCTGTTTTACTCGAGAAAAAAGTTTAAATCCTTTTTACTGTCCATGACATAAAATTGTAGATTGCAACAGCAAGAACCACTTACGCTAATTTTAATACTAAAACACATGAAAGAGGCGGACAAGCACATGTTAGATTGTCGCTCAGATTTCAATTGTCATTTAATATAGTGAGAAAATGAAGAAATAAAACATACCTCTTCACTGACTTTTCCTTGTTTTTGGTCCGGTTCTCTCTCTACCAACAGTTGGTTCCTTAATATTAGCTCATAATCAATTCAGTCATTTCATTTGAAAATCGACGTATGGATCTCCCAATTCCCAAACTCTTCACAAACGCCCGATCCCCAATTTTCCAAAGGGCCCTCCCCCCTCTCCCCTTCTAAGACCGGATCTCTCCTCTCGACACCGACTTTCCTCCCTCGTCGACTTTCTCCTCCTTCCAATCTTCCACACCCGCCCCTCGCCCCTCCGTCGCGCTGGCTCACCCATCCTTTATCAACTCGAACATCCGAGACCCCTCCCCGTAGTCGACCCACCTCCTTCAACGCTCAAACTCTCATCGCCTCTCTTCGCCGGTCACAGCCAGCGACGGCCTCCTCCGTCGTGGAGCCGGCCAGCGCCCTATCTCCGTTGTCCTCCGCGTCGACCAGAAGCATCCTCGCCCGCCTCTGCATTTTTTTAGGTAATTCGTTACTTTAAATTTAAGATTGAGTTTCATAGGTTTTTAATCCCAGATTGAGATTCGATAAAGAAGGTTTCTTTATGTTTGATGTATGTATGTCAAAACTAGACAACTTGGATTATATATGTGTCTTGATGAACGGGGGAACTTATGCTAAGACAACTTGGATTTGAATACTTGATCAGTGTAGAGAAATGTCTGTAGTAATTCTGATATATGATTGACTATTGCAGGCATTATGGAAGAGCCTGTGGAAGAAAGCAATGATAGTTTGGAGCGATCAAAAGAAGACTTGAAACCTAAATTTTTTATGGAGTTTGATTCTGAGATTGCTGCATATGACTTTTATAACGAATATGCACGTAATGAAGGCTTTAGCATTAGAAGAGAAGCTTATGCTGCAGATAAACAAGGTGTACTCACTTCAAGAACGTTTGTTTGTTGTAAGGAAGGTTTGCGGAAGGCGGATAAGAGAGACGATTTGACGAGAAATCCAAGAGGAGTTTGTTTGTTGTAAGGAAGGTTTGCGGAAGGCGGATAAGAGAGACGATTTGACGAGAAATCCAAGAGGAGAGACAAGGACTAATTGTGGAGCGAAAATCCAAGAGGAGAGACAAGGACTAATTGTGGAGCGATTATGGGGATTAAGTTGGTCAGGCGTACTGGTAAGTATTCTGTTTATCGTTTCTCTGAAGAGCATAACCATCCTCTTATCAGCCAAGAATCTGTCCATTTTATGCGATCTCATCGAAACATCACATCATCAGATGAAGCCTTTTTAGACTTGACAGCAAATTCAGGTCTTTCACCGAAGTCTGCATTTGAATTATTAGGTCAGCAAGCAGGTGGTAGAGAGTCATTGGGATTTACAAAGGTAGACCAAAAGAATTACCTTCGAACTGTCCGACAGAAAAAAATGAAATTTGGAGAGGCTGGTTATCTGATAGAATATTTTTCAAAGCAAATGTTGGAAAATCCTTCATTCTTCTATGAGATGCAGTTGGACACTGAGGAACAGATTACTAACGTTTTTTGGGCTGATGCTAAAATGATAATGGATTATGGTATATTTGGTGATGTGGTAAGTTTTGATACAACTTACAAAATTAATGAAGCAAATCGACCATTTGCAGTGTTTGTTGGATTAAATCATCATAGAGAGACTATTATTTTTGGAGCTGCCTTAATGTATGACGAGACCGCATCATCTTTTATATGGTTGTTTGAAACCTTTTTAAAGGCAATGTGTGGGAAGCCTCCACAAACCTTTTTCACTGATCAAGATGCAGCGATAGCCAAGGCTGTATTACATGTGATGCCAGGTACTTACCATCGACTTTGTATATAGCATTCTTTTTTTTAAATGTATATGATCATTTTTTTGTACATGTCAGGTACTTACCATCGACTTTGTATATGGCATTTGATGCAAAATGCTGTCAAGAAAGTTGGCTTCTTATTTCGAGACCACAATGAAGAAAATGAAGGCAATGTGTTCAACAAATTTCTTTATCAAATTGAGGAAGAGGATGAGTTCTTGAGTGCTTGGCAGTCCATGCTTGATGAGTACGATGCACATGATGATACTTGGTTGGCTGCAACATTTGAAATAAGAAAAAAATGGATGCAAACTACACAACTGAGTGAAAGCTTTAATGCTAGTTTGAAGGGGTATTTGAATTCAGACCTACAATTGCCTGAGTTTTTTACTCACTTTGTAAGAATGGTATTTGACAAGCGGTATAAGGAATTGGAAGCTGAATATGATTTGTTGTTCCGGATTGTTCACTGCAAGATGGAGGTAAGTATCTTGATACATGCACGAGAAGTTTATACTAAAGCCATATTTAAGGTGTTTCAAGCTCAGTTTGAGGACTCTTTAAAGTCTTCCATAACAAAGTGCGTGTCCAATGGTGAAAAATATATCTTCACTGTTGTTAGGGATGGGTTCTCTAAGGAGAGGCTAGTAAAAAGAGAAGGTCAGTTTACAGTATCTTGCAGCTGTAGGATGTTTGAAACTATAGGTGTTTTGTGTAGGCATTGCATCAAAGTGATGACAGAAGGCAGAGAAACTACACTGATAAAAAAGATACCTGAGCAATATACCCTAGAGAGGTGGACAAAAAATGCAAGAGTTGATAATATTGTGCAAGACATGCGGGGGCTCGAGATTGTAGAGAACCCAAGGCTGAAACAAACTTCTCGATATAGAAGTTTATGTTCTAAGTTTGTTCGACTTGCATCAAGAGCATCTGAGAGTGAGAAGACGTATGAGGCACTAGATATGGAAGCTGATAAGTTAGTAAAGATGGTTGAAGATATGTTACGTGTAGAAATAAATGGTGAAAAAGATGTGGAAGATGAAGCGTCAAATGTCTTGGTTGATTGCACTAATAATGTAGCCGCTGTGAATGCAAAGGGATTCAAAAGGAGAGAAGCTACACATCGTGGAAAACGTCGGGTAAAGGGAGATTTTGAAGCTCAGTTAAGCAAAAGCAAAAAGAAGCCCGCACAGGTCTTATATTTAACTATAACTGATGTCATTATTTACTTCTTGCTGAATATAGTCATTATTGATGTCTATGCAATGATAGGTAACTAAAGTTCCAAGACATTGCGATGCAATGGACCAATCTTCATTATTGATGTCTATGCAATGATAGGTAACTAAAGTTCCAAGACATTGCGATGCAATGGACCAATCTCATGTACCTTCTTCACAACAATCTCAGGTTTCAAACAATGCTTCACATTATGTTGTTGATATATTGGTCTTATGGTTAGGATGAATTTTTGCTATAGTTCATGTGTGGCCACACCAAGATTATGTAAAATAACCTTTAGTTATTGATATTGCAATAGGTCAGTGGGATTTTAAGCAATACCTCTGGCATAGAGTTATGTGGTCAGACTTCATTACCTCTCAATAATTCATCTCAGGTATATTTTTACTATTGTGTATAATGAGTTTTCAAACAACTATAGTGTTTATATGATTCGTTACTATCAATTACAGGTACCTATGCATTCTCCTATGATGGTTGGTAATGGTAGATATATGCTAATGCCGCATCATCCGTATAATGTGAGTGTGTGTTTGCTATAAATATATGATTTTCTTTTTTGCTATCTGTTTATATTACTGGTATTTTGACAGATACATGGGCATCAATTGAATATGCCAAACCAAATGTCTTGGAGGGGGGAGAAAGAATTCTCTGGGCCAAGTTCACAAGAATTTGTTCAATCAAATATCATGGGATTTCATTTGCACAAGACCCAGAAAAATGGAAGAACTGAGGAAAACTAGTGCATGTGTATATTGGTGGATATGTACTGCAGGGATACTTTTGTTGTGCAGGGATGAATTGGCAGATTAGTGGGTATTTTTTTTAGTGTTGGGATACTTTTGTTGTGTAGGGATACTTTTGTTGTGCAGGGATGAATTGGTGGATATGTAGTGCATGTATATCTTTATATATTTGATCTTATATGGAATGAAAATTTTAGTTTCAGTTTGATCTCAGTTGATCTCAGTTTCTGCATTCAGTTTTAGTTGATCTCAGTTTCTGCACAGTTTCTGCATTCTTTTTCAGTTGATCTCAGTTTTTGCATTCATATGTCCCTACTACTGTTGGAGATTCATATGTCCCTGCTTATTATGAATTGGCTTTAGTATTTGACCTAACAAATAGAGGTTGATTAAGCTGGACGTTTCTCTGTAGAAGGAAAAGATTCTCCTTTTTTTTATTTTCAAATGTTTGGTGAATGAGAACGAAATATAACGCAATTCTGCAGCAAATGCTTTGATTATTTTGGTCATAAGAGGCCTTGGGATTATGATATAACGCAATTCTGCATAACATTTGCACCATCAGGTATTGCTAACAGTCTGAAAGTTACAGCCAAAGTTACAAACTGAAATTCACAACCAAAGTTGCAAACTGAAATTCACAACCGAACATCAAATGAACAAAAATTAATCTCAATATGAGACCACAACCAAACGTTTATTGACACAACCAAAAAGAGCCTAAAGAAACATAGAACATCAAGTCTCATGAAAAGTTGAAACATGGAAGAACTACTGCATTGAACATTTGTTTGTTGTACATGCACACAATAAAACCGAAGATAAATATTCCTTACATTCAAATTGCTTGCCCAAGCTAGCATAGCTTACAACTCAATATTTACATTCTTTTACAACAAAATTTACATCAGTCGGTAAAATCAGGCAAGGGAAAGAAACAAAAATTCCTTCCCTTCCCTATCAGTCGGTAAAATTGGTGATTTCCAAAATCTGCTAGCTTACTGCACTTCTACCTTCCTTCACCTCGAGGCATCTTCTTTGCTCCGGCTGTTACAATGAACTCACAAAACTGAAACAGCAAAGGCACCTACAATCAACCACATTAACAACGATTACCTTGCACCCATCAATCCCAAACTGAAACAGCCTAATCCCATTTTCCCTCAAGAACTGATTATTTGCCTCCGGGTACACCTCCTCATAGCCGCCACTGCAACCAAAAAGACAAATCAAAACCAAAAATCAGCAAAAACCCTAATCAAAAAAGGATTATACTTCAGGATGCCATCAAGTTGTAACTGATCTTCAATATAATAGAAAAATGTAACACCCCAAAGCAAACACCTACAACTATAACTTCAACTGCACAATTTTGCAAATTGAACCAAGTAACTGCCACTACAAATCCATATGAACAACTGCTGTCTCATACAACTGCCTCTTGCTTGTAATTAGAGTTGCTGTGAATTCCTATCTGTCGCCTTGCATATGGCAACTATGATTGTCAATGCTCATACACAATGGAGCATAAAGAATTATACATTTTTTTTAGGTTGCTTAAAAAACATAACAGAAGGATCATCTCAAACTCAACCCATAATAATACTCGGATAATACATCTTAAACACCGCTACGCACAAAATACCAATTAATCCAAGCATGCTCTCAGGCAACACAAAAGAGAAAAAGAGCAAGAATTTAAGAAACTTACCATCGCGCCTGTGTTCATGTGACTGATATCTGCAGTAACACCAGGGGCATTAACAACATCATAGAGATGAAGAACTGACAGCAAATGATTCATCTTCATCAGCATCGCAAGAGGCTGACCTATTCCTCTAGCAGCACCCAAAATCGCAACTTTGAACCCTGGAGCCCCTCCTTTTGATCGGCAATCCAAGCGCGTCAGTGAAGAACTCTCATCCATCTACAATCAGAAACCCACATTAAAAACTCAATCAAAATCTCAACATTTTGGAACCCATTAGTCAGATCGAGAGAGGGATCGGGAGAGATTACCCGGAGCGTCGGAGGAGGAATCTCGCGGAGGAATTTTGGGGAGAGTTTTGGGGAAGAGAGAGAGCGCCTTTGGAAATTTGGGGATCTGGGGTTTGTGAAGAGTTTTGGGGAATTTAGGAGAGATTTTATCCGTCGATTTAAATGAATGGCTGAGATTGATTTATGAGGTAATATTAGGAACACTGTTGGTTAGGAGAGGATCCGGATCCCATTGTTTGACATTGCAAAGAAAGGACACATACTACTGACAATGAACACGTGGCGAAGGACGTGTAAGCCCTCATTCTCATTTCCGCCTGTATCCATTCTTTGTGCAGGATTCCAACAAACAAAACCCTGCAGTCTTGCTTAAGGTATAATAATCCATGGCATGCTCTGGGTCCAGCTCCAAAACACACACTGAACAATTTCGACGATTATCAGCTCTGCAAGCATCACGCATAGGTGCACATTGACGACCATCAGTCCGAAATTAAATAGCTTCCACTATGTCACAGTCTCAATTTCACACTGCAACTTGACAAGTACCCACCTCCTTCTTCATCCCTCTCGTTTTAATCTCCCCCCTCAGATCCTCCGACCCCTTCCACTTCCCGACCTCCGAGTGAAAGTTTGAAATCAGTACATAAATTGATGGATTCCCAGGCTCTAATGCTAGCAAACGACTTGCAACAATCTCCCCTCTCACCAAATCCTTACTAACTCTACAAGCATTAAGCATAACAATACAAATCTCTGCAGTTATCATCATCATCCTCCTCTCAAGACTACAAAACACGTTCCAAGCCTCTTCGATCTTGCCAGCACGGCCTAATAAATCAATATAGCAAGCATAATGCTCGGGACTCGGGTCAAGACCATATTTCTCCTTCATAGAGAACAAGTAGTCTCTCCCTTCTTCTACCAAACCTGAATGATTACATGCCGAAAGAACCAATAGGAATGTAATATTATTAGGCAAAACACTTGATTCTTTCTCCATGTGTCTGAATAAAGCCAACGCATCGTGTCCTAACCCATTACTTCCGTAAGCATCGATAATGCTCGTCCATGAAACCACATTCTTGTTGACGATCCTATCAAACACCAACCTGGCGACCTTTACCTCCCCGCACTTGGCGTACACATCAAGAAGTGCATTGCACAAGATCGCCTCACACTCAAATCCCCGACGTAACATCAGACAATGAACCTGTCGCCCATACTCCAAACTGTACAACTCCGAACACACATTTAAAACACTTGATAGAGCAACCGGATTGACCTCCATCCTCCTCACCATCAAGAAAACATCCTCAAACCTCCGGTTCATTACAAAACCGCTAAGCAAAGCGTTATAAATCCCCTCATCCTTCTCACCACTCGACCCGTTAAAAACATTCACCGCATCTTCCACCATCCCTAACCTTGAATAAAAGCCCACCAGCGCGGTCGCCAGGACGACAGACTCGCAACCCGTTATACAAACCCGGGCGTGTATCTGCTTCCCCTGGCTCAGATGTAGGCCGTGCGCCTTGAGCAGCGTGCACAGTGTGCTTGCTGTGGAGCGGACCCCACTGTGGAGCATTGCCCGGAAGGTAGACATCGCTTTGGCGACGAGGCTGTTATCAACTAAGCAGGAGATGAGGGAGTTGTAGACGGGTGGATCCGGGTGGGGAATTTCAGCGAAGAGGCGGAGGGCGTGGAGGGGAGGGTAGAGCTGGAGGAGCGAGGTGAAGGGGAGGAGGGAGGAGGAGAGGGGGAGGGATTTGACGAGGAGCGAGTGGAGCTGGGGGGCGAGGGAGGGGAGGCGGAGGGAGAGGACGGCGGAGAGGAGAGCGAAGGAGAAGGAGTCCGAGGGGACGGAGACGGGGAACGCATTCTGGAGGAAGAGCGGGGCGGAGAGAGGTCGTGAGGCCGGAAGTGGGAGATCAGAGGAGTTGTATCGGGATGTTGTGCATGAGGTTGGAGACAATTCAGTGGAGTGGGAAGTATTCAGGAGGAGGTGTCTGTTGGAAGGGAATTTGAACTTGGTGGTGGTGGCGGGAGGGAAACACTTGAACATTTCTACACTTTCCTCCTTCGCGTTGCTCTTTTTTCACTCTTTTATTAGTTCACGCCACACACGGTTTTATACACGGTAGTCATCATCATCATCGGAAGAAGTAAAGATAGCTGAAGATATTTGTTTTGCGTGATTACTAGGAGGAGGGACATACTTCAACAATTTCTTTCTTTTTATTTTACTAGATTTTATACACGTGCAATACACGTGGTTAAATATCATGATTAAGTATTTTTAGCTTATTTTATAACTAAAATTTGTTCCTTAGTTTCGGTTTAATAGTTTATGCTCATTTTTGTCCCTAAACTTTAATATTGTGATTAGTTATTTTATTTAATGTTTGTTTAAATAGGTTACACTCAATTTAAATTTTTATGTTAATATTAAAATTGATAGAAAACAAATATAATTTGAAGCTAATTTAAATTTTTATATTATTTTGACTAACATGAAACCAAATCTTTACTTAAGAAAGTACAATGTTGCCAAAGTAAAAAAAAATTGAAACGGTGTTATACAAAGAAGGTGAATATTTAAAACCAATAAGGCAAAATAATTGCTTAAAAATATGCTAAAATATACAAAAGAGAATATAAATTTTGTTCCTAATCATTGATAGCCTTCATAAAAAATTATAAATTAAAGATTAATGCTAACTCTAGTATACTTTCATATGATAAAAACATCTGCACAAGCATATAAAAGTACTGAAAAAAGTTCCATTCAAAAGATTTCTAAATTCACACAAAATAATTAAACTATTCTATAAAATATTCAAAAAAATTTATCTTTTACTCCTTCTGTTTTTTAACTGAGCTAATATCAATCCTTCCTCACCTTTTTCTTTTTTCCGGGCAATTCAATAGTAGTATCTTCATCATCTATTCGATTGTGACATCGGGCTAGAGTTGTACTTTTTGTGTTGTTATCGTTCCTGGGCTCGTTAATCTTTTATCTTGTTGTTTAACTTTACAAAGAAGTTAAATGTATGTCTGATATTCAACAAAAACATCTTGAAATACAGACTTTGATTTTTTATTTCAATGAGAATAAATATTAATTTTGTATATATGAAACTCTTTGTGTTCCTAATTTATTACTTAAATAAGATTAAGAGCTGCCTTCTTTTTGTCTACAATAAATTTTTCTGATGTGCATCCAACAAGTTTTTATGTTACGTCAATAATATTATATTTGCTCTATCCATGTTATTTTTCACAAAGATCTAAACTAAATACCTATATTTTTATTACTAATTTACCTTAGATTATAATATTAATATTTAATTTCTTTAGTATTTTAAGAACAAAGTATAAAATTTATGAATGCTTACTAATTTTTCTTACATCTTCCATAAAGAATTCTTCTTTGATTGGGATAAAGTTATTAAATTATTTCAATGTAACTCAGTTGGTGCTTCTTTAATAGACATGCCTTATGTTAATGCCAATTCAAATGATTCATGGATATTTTCTGAATTTTAGATTTATTTCCGTCACTTTCCCATTTGCAATGGAAATAGTTTGATTCTTTTGAATGATATCTCTGAACATTCTGATAGTTTCTTCATACGTAATTCATTGTATTCTTTGAATGCTAAGCTGTTATATTATAGTATTTTATTATTTTTATAGATTTAAACATCTATCAGTTAATATTACTAATGGGTTTTGCTGCTCCAACTTATTAGTAAAATTTTATGTAGTTGCTTTAATTTATATGATGATGATAATTTTTAAGCTATAATATTTTTTAAATTTTTATTTCTTAACCGGATATTTTTAATCAATTCTTATTGCTTTTGTTTACGAGTATCAACTTAGACTGTCTTTAGATGCTAAAAAGGGATAGTAAACCCCAAATTGGAAATTAAATATATATATCTTAATGAAAGAATATCTAATAATTACACATTTCTTTGCCAAGTTTTAAAATTTCAGTCCTTTTTTATGGTTTGGTACTTTAAGGGTGTGATTTGTAATTTTTAAAACTTTGGGAGTATTTTTAAAATATTACTTTTAAGTTTGGTAGTTGTAACTTTTATGTTTCATGTGTCAGTGGTAATTTTTAAATGTCACTATATTTCTTACAACTCTGAAATTTTGAGGTTGTTTTTTACAATTGTTAAAACTAAAGATTAATTTTTAAAAAATTTAAAATTTTACGGTCTACCAATAGTTTTCATATTTGATGTGTACTGGTTATAAATTTTAAAATTTTAGAGTTTTTGTTATAATTTTTAAATTTTGAAAGTGTTTTTTTTACAACTTTTATAACTGTGAGGTTAATTTCGGTAAATTTTAAAATTTAGGTGCATGAGGGTAATCTCTTGAACTCATTTTTTGTTGTTTTCAAATTTTAAAATTTTTATAATTTTAGGGTTATTTTTTTATAATTTAAACTTTTGAGGGTGTTTCTATAATTTTTAAGATGTTGAGGGTATTAATTAAAAATTTTAAATTCTTCGGAGGCTGCTGTGAATTTTTTAATTTTATGTTTATTATTTTAAGCTTTAAAATATCAGAATTTTTTAGATGCATTATGATAATCGCTTGAATTCATCTATGTTATTTGTAAGTCTTGAAATTTTAGAATTTCAGGTGCTTGTTTGTAATTTGAACTTTTGATGGTGTTTCTATAATTTTTTAGATGATGAGATGTTATCTGCAAATTTTAAATTCTTAGTTGTTAATTTTTTTGATTTCATGTTTGTTGTTTTAAGTTTTTAGACGTCGGGATAGTTTTTATAATTTTAAACTTTTTAGGGTATTTTGTGTAATTTTAAAACATTTAGATTCTTTTTGTAATACTTTATGTATTATAGTACGTTACCTATGTATAATTTCTTTATCTTTACAAACTAATACCATAAAACGATGTTTTAAATATTTTATTAATATAATTTTTTTAAACAGTTAAGCTATAGATAGTTCACGTAGGATTAGGATAGGATATAATTATGATTACATATAATTTCTTTATTTTTAAAAACTAATACCATAAAAATATATTTTACATATTTTATTAATATAATTTTTTAAATTGTTAAGCTATAGATAGTTCACGTAGGATTAAGATAAGATATAATTATGATTAGGATAGATTAAGATATAAATAAAATATTTAAAATAGTGAAGGGTAATATTGACCATAGAAAGATTTTCTTGAACTCGTGCTTTTGAAGGGAGTATGATTTTATTTTATTTTATTTTGTAGGTATTTGTCCTTTACATCTTCAATAATTCCATATTAGTCCCTCTACATATTAGTCCCTCAAGTCCTATATGGTCTTGCAAATTGGTCCCTTTAATTAACTCACATTAGATTTAAAGGGAATATTTTGTCAAATCTAACGGTTAGGGGCAAAGTGATTGTTTTACCCCTCTGTTAAGTCAAATAACAGTAAAAAAAATCCTAACTCAAAGCAGAGCTTCACAACAATCACAATCCTCTAAGACATCTATAATCTTCTTAATTTCTCCTCTAACATATATATCTTCTTCCGCTCTAGCGTATGAACTATTACAATACATTTGGATGGTGGGTAATGTGGGTTGGGGAAGGGAAACAGAGAGTTAACTCTTGTTTGGGAGTTGTTTTAAGAGGGGTAATGGAGGATAAGGGAGGGGGAAATGTCCAATTTTGTTCCTCTCCAAATTAGGAAGTAGAGGAGGGGAAAAGAATTAATTATAAAAATTTTAACATAAAAAGGAAATTTTACCTCTTATTATCATAGATCGACGACTAAGATTTAATTTCAAAACCCTTTTATTCTATTCCCTTCACTTTTATTAGGACCCCCAAACAAGAAAAAAAATTCTCCTCCATTCTCATTACAAAATTACGAAACATTATATTTTACTTTCCTTTCTCTACCTTTTCAATATGCATGGGTGAGTATACCACAAAAAAAATATAGGGATTGCTCCCCCTATCAAAATGCCATAAAGAATATATGAAATGAAGATCATGGCAAACATGTGAGCAAGCATAAATGAAAAATATGCTAAACACCACTCACATACAAAAAGACAATGAGAATACATATAAATATGTCAATGTGGAAAAAAATGTCTCATATCAAAGATCATAAAAATTATGACATCAAAAGAAAAATAATATGAGAATCAAGTAAAAAGTTTTCAAAAGAAAACAAATCACTCAAATGAAATCATAAATCAAAAATTTGAGCCAAAAAATGATATTTGATCAATAAAGGAAATTTTCTTTGTAAAACTTGATCAAACCACATAAGGAATACATTATAAAGCATATTTAAAATTTGAATCATCTATTTGAGCTATATAATGAATTCAAAAGAACAAATCACAACAAATTTTCATAGTTCCAAAAAAAAGATTACAAAACGCACAAGAATCATGAACTATGAAAAAAATCATCTTTAAAAGTATAAAGCTAAATCATCATTGATTTTTAAAAATCAAGAGAGGCAACTATATCTAGCTCTTGAGCTAGTAACAACCCATATAAATATTTTAGCATCCGGTAAACATGATTTGGGAATAAACACCCAATAAATTCGAAGGGTTATATAAATACAAACCTCTCATCAAAACAAGATTAATAATCATGAAAACAAAAAGATTTGATCAAAGAAAATTTGTTTTCATAAAAAAATGATTTTAATACATAATTTTCAAAACCAAGAAAAAAAAGATAAAAACATTAAAATTCTTGGTTTAAAATTCAAATTTATTTTGATACCCAAGAACTCTTGGTACCAAAAGATTTAGGGACATGACCCCTATTATTTAAGCTCAAAGCCCTAGGGTTATGAACCCGTTTGAGCGCATGTGGTGCACTAACATGGTCAAAGCAATATTCACTCAAATGACCCTTCCGATTATAATTTGTGCAATGAAAGAGATCCATTTGTTTTTGTGGACCATTAGCTCGTGCATGAGAATCATTTGCAAATAAAGATTTTCTTTTAAAATTATTTTACAAATGAGAAACATCATTAAACAAATGTGGTCTTTTTAGAGCAAATTGCAAATTTGGAGCATTTTGCAAATCAAAATAAAATTTAGTAAGATGTCTAAACCTACCACAAACATCACATTTAAAAACATGTGGTCTACTAGAAACATTTGGCAAATAAGATTTTCTTTTTAAATCGAAACAATAATCGGCCAAATGACCAAAACGACCACAATGATCACATCTATACACATGAGCATGCTTATGATGAACAATGGGTGCATGTGTGTGTACATGTGATGAAGAAGCTACATGAGATGCACAAGGAGCATTGATTTTTTTATGTTTGTGTGCATCATAGCAAAATTTAGCTAGATGGCCTTTACGACCACAAATGGAGCACTTGTAAACTTTGCTATATATATGTGCATAATGAGTGGATGGTGACTTAGACTTGGCACACATATCCATAAGCCTCTTATGATTATTAATGTATGTTTTTAAAGTTGAATCTAAAGATGAAATACATTTATTCATAAGATTCAAGTCTTCATTTTTAGGCACATATGCACTTTTAGAAGTAGAACATAAATAGTTATTTATAAAAGAAGCAGTATCATTTTGTATGTTCTTTACTTCTAACATGACATTATCTTTTTCATGAGTTAACTTGGCAAAGTTTGAAAGCAAAGAATCATGATCCGATTTTAATTTTTCATTGTTTTCTTTAAGGATCATATTTTCATTAGAAATAATATCAAACTTAGAAGTTAAAGACTCATGATCGGATTTTAAATTTTCATGCTTCCTTTGTAAATTAATAAAATTATTTTGCAATTTCTTGTAGGCATGCAATAATTTATCACTAGCACAAGCAAGTTCATCACTATATAAATCATTATCGGTTTCGAACTCGCAAACCTCACTAGGGCTATCGCCTAGTGCTCGTGTGCATGAAGCTCCATATGAACTTGAAGCGGGATCCTCCAAAGCTTGTCGGATCGCCTCCAAGTCCCCTTGATGTGCTTCAATAAATTTTCATAAGGTGTAAGCACTATCAAAATGAACAAATTTGTTAGGCATAGATGAATCAAGAGCATTTAGCAAATATTCTAACAAAATATTGTTCATTATAAACATACGATGATCATTCTTATTCCACTTGGATTTCTCCAAAATGGGCACAATATAAGCATCATCTATAATTTCCCATAAATCAAAGTGTTTAGATTGAACAAAAAGTTTAAATCTAACACACCATTGGGCATAGAGGAAATTATCTAATCTAGGAGCAATATTAATGGCATAACCTAAACCATGCATATCCATAATATAAAAGGCAAGCAAGATACAAATAAAGCTCAAAATTAGATTAGCACAATAAGCTAACTTAGATCTTTAACTCAAGGCGATTAGACCTTAAATCAAAGAGCACCAAGCTCTGATACCAATTGTTAGACCCTAGAGGGGGGGTGATTAGGGTCTTATACTAATCTAATAAAAACTAATTAACAAGTTATCCTAGCAAGTATGAAATATAACAAGAATATAAGCTAGGATAAGCAATATGAACAATGAGATATATCCTATATGATGAATATATATATGCAAGGATATATAAACTAACACAAGATGATATATCCTATCAAAGAGATATACAATATGATATATGTATATGCAAGGATATAAAACTAACACAAGGGGTAAACTATATGAACTAGATAGTGGATCATATAAATAATGAGCTAATGACAATGGCGACAAGAAATATAAACACAAGTATAAATAAACGCCAAAGCACACTCAAACACAAGATATGATCACGGACTTCGGACCTTCCGTCCTACGTCTCCGCTCCCCACTCCCGGGGAGAAATCCACTATCACAACCGGGTTTTCTACGCTCACCCGAATAACGTTTACACCTCACAGTGTCGGTTTTCAACGCTCACCGATCAACGTCACTCCTCACAATCGGTTTTCTAGTTCACCGAAAACTTCACAACACACTCGGTTTTCTAGCTCACCGAAAACCTTACAACACTCATAATATAACAAATATAAATGATTTGTTCTCACATACAAGGGGAGAACTCAATTAAGCACAACTCAATGTTACAATCTCTCACAACCCTAATATACTATGTATGCAAATACAATAAGCTCAAGTGGGTGTGTGTAACAATGAGATATAAATAAAAACTTAACTCAATAATAACTAGCAATAAGATTGATATGAAATACAATAGTAGAAATTGCTAGGAAATAGAGTTAAGGAAACTTCTCTATCAACACAAAGAGAGGATGAAAGAATATTGAAGATGAATTCCTCAACAGATGATGCAAACTCCTCTTTGTAACAGCAAACCCCAAAAACAAACTAAACAAACTTAAACTCTTTTTAAAACTGTTAAAACATTCTCTCTTGGGTTGTACTTAGAACTGAGATCAATGGGGTATTTATAGCCTCCCAAAACCTCAGCCAAAAACCCCAAACCAAATGACAAAAACAGTCCCAGCAACGGTAACAAAAATAGCCGTTGGAAACAGAACTGATAGAGCAGGGGTCGGCCGGTGCAGTCGACCACGAGCAAGGTAAGAAACGGAAGAATTTTCCAGACAGTTCGTCGGTCGACCGCACTGTAGCGCGGTCGACCGCTGGTACTGTAGCAGTGCATATCAGTTTTGTAAAATCAATTAAAATAAGTAAAACAGCTCTAAAAATTATGAAATTTTTAGGGAAGGTTATACACATGTATAAGAACATTTTAGAGAAAGAATTTCTGAAAAATAATTTCTCAGTTGAGATAAATAAATGTTTGAACACAGATTTACAGTTTCTGAAAAACTGCAGACATACACGATTTTGTAAAATCAATTGGGCACAGTAAATCAACTCCAAAAATAGTAAAATTTTGAGGGAAGTTTTTAAACATGTAGATAAACATTTCAAAGAAAGAATTTATTGAATATCACTTCCCATTTATAAAAACTCATCTGTTTTATAAAACATGCACGAACATGTGCACGAACAAAAACATGATTTTGTAAATTCCATTAAACATAACAAATCAATTCCAAACTTGATGAAACTTTGCAAAATGTTTATAAACATGAAAACAAACATGTTACAAAAATAAATTTTCAATTTTCATTTCTCAATTGTGAAAACTCAATATTTTGTAAAAACACGCATGAATATGAATTTGTTAAGAACATGTTTTTGACAAAAAGAGTTTAAATGCATATTGAAACTTTATGAAATGTCTTCATAAATATTATAACACATGAATATAAAGTAAACATGGTCAATAAAACAATATCACAAAGTTTTCTCAAAATAGCTCATTTTGTGAGAAAATCCAATATTGTGTGTGTATATGATATTGAGCTTAGAGTATTAAACACACATAATATAAACCTATACTAAATATACCCAAGTTTGATGAAGGTCTTCAATGAGCATGACTTGGTAAACTTTGCGGAAGAAGCTTGTAATTGGATCTTTAACTTGAATTGACGTTGCTTCACTCCACAATTCCGCCAACCTCCATTTGATATGATCGTTAAGGCTCGATTCCATCCATCCTCCAACTATGTTGTTTGTCTATAATAAATAAGAAAACACAAATACTAGACAAACAACATTAGTGATAAATTGTTTGTTAAACATCATCAAAACACGAAGGTCAACAAACTGGACATGGTATCAAAACATCTTCATGTCTGCATCTGATCTTACATATTACAAAGATCCGACCCGACCCAATTGCACAATTATCACTCCCCTTGTCCGTAACGGTCGAAGACAAAAAATAATAAAATAATAAAAAATACGAAAATACAAAAAATGTCAAAAATACAAAAAAAAAATCAGAACCATTTTCCTTCGTCTTCTCTATGGCCAGCACCTCTCGAAATCTGATTCATCAAACACAGAACAAAGCCACCACACAAACGCCATCCTCAATTTACTAAGTTACCCCCGACCATCTTCGGCCTCCTCATCCATCATCCACACAACCCCAAGGCTATTCCCGTCATCTTTAACTCCCCCTTCTTGACTAAAACTCCATTTCCCCCAAAAATCGCAAACTCAAAATCCTGTAAAATTCCCCAACAATGGCGCTCCAGTTCTCTCTGTCGCCGTCTCCACCTTCATTCCTCTCATCATCACCATCGCCTTCTCTCCAACCGCGTCACCTCCTGCTAATCGCTCGCATTTCCAACCTCGACCGGTTCGATTCGGGATATGTCCGGTTCGGTGCTGCTTGGCCCGGCCGAGCTTGGACACGACGTCGGTTCCGACCGTGGGTCAGGTGACGGAGGTGAACAAGGACACCTTTTGGCCGCTCGTTAAGGGGGCAGGATCGAAGGTTGTGGTTCTTGATATGTACACTCAATGGTAATTAATACTCCTAATTCAAAATTATCCTTTACTAATTTGAGTTAACTGTGGATAACGGTGGAAGTGAGCCAAGTAATTAGCAAATAGTTCGTTAATCTTTTGTCTAGCTAATCTGTTATGTTCGATTCGGTGCTTCGTTTAAAAGGGAATAAATAGTTTTTAGTATTTGGTTCATAGTAGAACAGAATTTAACTGTTAATCTCTAGATAACTGGTTCCTCTTAGTAAAAAAAAAATTAACTTAATTTTCAAGCTTTCAACAGAACACGAATCCAAAAGTACGATTAACAAATAAAATAAGATTATAACACATCTAAGTAAGATATAAATCCATACAAATTCAAATCGCGAATTAGCAGAAAATATTAGATTAATGGACTCGTAAATTAGATTTTAGCAGATCATATTAGGTTTATTCAAATTGCAAAATATATCAATAACAAGACGAGCCATCAACTAACGGGTCAGATATTAGCAAAACAAATTAGATCCGTTGAAAACACAACTTAGAAATCACATTCACAATGTAAAACTTAAGTATGGAAAATGCCTCAAGCATCACCTGACTGCGGGTGGTCTCGGCATCTCGATGCTCACAAAGGGATTGCCGACAAAACCTAGGCTCGCGTGAGATGAGCTTACTTTTTAGTTTATAGTATAATACTCTGTTTCAATAAATAATATTGTGTTGATCATGATATGATTTTTGTAGGGTCCGTTGTGATTGCATTTATCAATCGTCTCCGATATCCCCTACGCAGTAGTAGTTCAAAAATTTTACAGAATAATTGTATCTCAATATTCAACAAGGACATATTAATATTCCACATGAGGTAAGATTTTTTTCCTCCTTCTCGAAGAAAGCTAGAGGAGATTCTCAGACCTGAGAATGTACAACTTCAGTTACCATAGTTGCTTAAACTCGTTTACTACATGACTGCCTCATATATGCATGAAAGAAGTTGCAAACTAAAGAAAAACACGTTTCCCCCAAGTTTATAATCAAAAACAAGAGTTCCTAGTTAATCCATGTAGTGAAAGGTCAACCAATGTGCCTCAGAAAATAAAAAAGTTTGAAAACTATATGAGAAAGTTCTTTTTACGTTTCAAATATAGTAAATAGAAAATCCATAAATTTGTGTTTGCACTGAAAAGACTAAACAATTGTACTACTAATGAACATATGTAATAACCATATCAACATAAAAAATAAACTTTTTTCTTGCAGAATTTTTGTATTATTATGTCAAAGTCGAATGCGTTCAATCTAATAATTCTAGATAGAGGTGCACAAAAATATCTGTATCCGAGGAAATAAATATGAATATGGTTACTAAAACCTACAACGGATAGGATACAGTTCTGGATATTGGATATATAGTGAAATATTTTGATTTGTGTATAAAAGGTCTGCATATATAGTTGTCGTACAGTTGCACTGGCTTTAATTCTTGGATTAATGGATTTGATGTTAATTTTGATGATCAAGAGATCTAATGTTAGCTTTTTAGATATAACAAAAATATTAATGAGCTTTTTTTGTATCATATGAGCTATCAATTTTTTTTCTAATATTTTAAGGTTTTCTCATATCTGTTTTGTATATCAACTTATATATCCGCCAGTATACCCATATATGTATTCGATTTGAGCGGATACGGATATCAGTTTTTTCTTACCGCGAATCCGTATCCGTGCGTCCATGATTGGTAAGCGGATAAGGGCATGGTATTCTGAACCATGTGCACCCGTATTTCTAAGGATTTGTATTGTATTTATGATTGATATAATTTAATTTTTATTTTTTTCCCATGTGAAGAGTTAAACTTGAACTATTTACGAGATAAACATGTAAATTACTTGGGCGATAATCAAATATACCACCTCCTTGCATCTTCTTCTTCTTCTTTCATTTGGGATAAAGGTCACAGTCTGTTTGCAAGCGAACATAGACCTCTATGTCGCGTGACAATAAAATGTTTAACTGTAGTCTGTATCATTTTCTTGTTATCTAAATGTGGTAAAGTTCTGATTAAGATATATCTCTTTGTTATTCTAAATCCGTGAATGAAGGTGTGGCCCTTGTAAGGTTATTGCTCCTAAATTTCAAAAGTTGTCTGAGAAATACCAGGATGTTGTATTCATGAAGCTCGACTGCAATCAAGAAAACAAGGTCGATAATGCTCTTCCCTGTATATTCTCTCACTTTTATCTCATTGCTAATTATCTTTCAACCTCACGAGAGTCATGGCATTTTTTATATCACAGGCTTTGGCAAAAGAGCTGGGTATCAAGGTCGTTCCGACCTTCAAGATTCTCAAGGACAGTAAGGTGGTAAAGGAAGTAACGGGGGCCAAATTTGACGATCTAGTTTTTGCTATTGATACTGTAAAGTCAAGCTCATAGGCTGGTTCCATTGCCATTTTAATAGGGTTCTGAGTTTCAAGAAATATTAAAATGATAACCCTAATAAAGGGATATACAAATATTTGTAACTGTCATTTTATTGTTTTCGGTTAATAAATATAGCACTGTTACCGTCGCAAAATGAGTATTGTTCATTACCAATCAGTTTGGTTCGGAAAGGATGTTGTGCTTCTCGAAGATGTTCATCATTTCCTTTAGTTCACATTGATTTGAATTGAATTTATAGAGCAGTCCTTTGAATGGACATGTTGATATAATTTGGAAAAAATTTAACCAATTTTCATATTTGTCGAAAAGAGCTGACCATGAAATGGATCTAAGAGGAAACAGCGTATGTGGAGTTGGGCAATGTAGGTGGATTTGACATGGCGTGAAACGTAGTGAAACAGATAGTATGAGGGGGGAAATTTTGAAGTATGGCATGGGTTTTGTGGAATCTATTACTTATAAACTAATGGTCTGTTTGTTTGCACGGAAATAATTATGAAGTAGCTGAAGTAAAAAAAATAAATGTTACTTCTGCTATTTCTAAACAAAAAAGTGTGTTTAGTTCTTTGAAGAACTTACTTCCAATACTTCCTTAAACGCTTGTTTGGCGCCTACGTGTCATCATTACTTCTAAAATATTTTTCCAATCCTCAATACTCAGAAGTAGCTCGGAAGTAGTTGAAATGCAATATTAATTAGGAAAGAAATAATTTTTTATTAATATTTTCTTTGTTAGTTACTTCTAACAACTTTTCATTGATAAAATTGTTCTTAACTTTTAACAATTATTTTGTAGTAATTTGTGATGGACGTCGGCCAACTTTTTTTTTAGGATGAAGAGAACAATTTGTCTATTAATTCTTTGTCTAAATACAACGTTGATGTTACAATCAAAGGAGCAAGGGAGGAGAGAAATTGGAGATTCATAGGAATTTATGATCATCCGGAGTTTCATCGTAGGCGAGAGGTAAACAATTATTTTGAAGCTATGTGGTTGAAGAATTCTTCTTGCTCTCAAGTGACGAGGGGTCATAGCGGCATGAAACTGGTTGTAACGTGCTAGATCAAATTAAAAAGCGTGACGTGACTTTGAAATTATGGAAGCAACATGTGTTAATTACTTCCTAGTAATATTTTCAAATGTTATCCAAACAAAAAAGTAAATGAAGAGGAAGAAATTCTACTTTCATTACTTCTAAAAATATATGAAACAAATAAAAAATTTGTTATTTCCTTTACTTCCTACTTCATAGTTTTGAAAGTTACTTCTATAACATACTTCTTACTTTCAATATTTTCATTATCCAAACGGGCCCTAAAGGAGAGCAACAAAAATATTCTGATGAACAATAAATCTTAGGTGGACCAATCAAAAGGAGTCATGTCATCCCCTCAAAGGAGCCACGTCATTATTTCTCATCTCTTCTACTACCTCCCTTCCCGCACCCTCCCTCTCCTACTACCCACGTTCTTCCCCCTAATCTACTACTTATAAACTAAAGGAGAACAATCAAAAAGTTAAAATGAATAGTAAACCAAGTTTTTTATTCACATTTTTATACTCCCACGATTCTTCCGCCTTATTTTCCCTAACTTCCGCCGGTCTCCTCCCACTATAACTTCCACCTCCTAAAAATACTCCCGAGTCTGCAAGAGAGAGAAAACTACCCCACCCGAAAACCACCCCACCGGCGCACCCCCATCTCATACCGCTCCACGTTCTCTCTCCCTTTTTCTCTCTCTCTCTCACACATTCCCCATTTTCACAAAGAGCAGACCTTAATCTTGATCTCTCCATTGCCGAAATTTTCCAGTAGAATGTAAGAAATTTCACTTGAACCTTAATCATTGATGAGAAAGAGAGAAAGAGAGGGGCAAAAGATCATGGTTTCCAAGAATCTGAGAGACGATGAGTATCTTCTCTACGTTGCCATTTGCATGGTGGGTTTGCCCGTCGAGGTTCAGGTCAATGATGGATCTTTATACTCTGGGATCCTTCACATTGACTCCTTTGATAAGAATCGTGGTAAATTTAATTAGATTCTTATCATTTGAGTGGAGATCTCAACTGGGATTGGCTTCTCTTTCTCGGATCCTACTTTTTCAGAAATGGGTTTTGGTTATTGGATCCAAATCTCAAATGGGTTTTTGTCATTTGAGAAATTTCATTATTTTGATTGCTGTGTTGAATGTGATTTTACCGATTGCAGTATGAATTAAATGCATTGTGTGTTCTTCTTTTTTTAATGATTCTCTTGCATTGAATTGGTTATTTATTTCACTAACATTAAGGCCAACTTTTTATTTGCAACAGTATGTATTCATTTGCATCATTTTATTTGTTAGCTCCATCACCTAACAGTTGGGAATCCAATTTTATGTGGTCATATGATAACCCATTTTTATCTGACACGGTAGGAACTGTAACTTTTCTCTAGGAGAAGTAATTAGTTTTTTTGGTTTGCATGATATAAATCTTTTATTTTACTCAGGCTTCAGCAAAGAAAGCGATAGATTTCTTGCCATTTCTACAAAAAATTAGAAGGCTTCCCGCTATGGTTGAATATGTCCTTAGTGGACATCGTTTTAAATTTCTTATTCCCAAGGAAACTTGAAGCATTGCTTTCGCATTCTCTGGTGTCAGGTGCCCAGGTCGAGATGAGCCCTTTTCAGATGAAGCTATTGCATTAATGAGAAGGAAGATAATGTAGCGGGAAGTAGAGGTGCTAATGCTGCATCTGTTAGTTTGTTTTAACTTAATCTCTGTACTATATAAAAACTTTCTAAATTCTATTGCACAGATTGAAGTTGAAACAGTTGATAGAGCTGGCACTTTCCTGGGTTCTCTATGGGAGTCTAAGACAAATATGGTCGTGGCTCTTCTCCAAGCTGGATTGGCAAAGCTTCAAAATTCATTCGCTTCAGTCAGGATTCTAGATGCCCACCTTCTTGCACGGGCTGAACAATCGGCAATACACCAGAGACTGAAGGTAAACTATTAGTAAATATTCTCCAAATCTTCATTTATCCTGCTTTGTTTTCTGCTAATATACAGTCTTTTCCGCTTGGAGGTGTGAGAGAACTATGTTGAAGGACAGGAAGTTGCTAATGGATCTTCCACCAATTCAAAACAGAAGGATGTGCTCGAGAGTTTAAATGGTTTCTTTCATTGTTACGGTAATTGATACTTATGCAGTTTAAACAGTTGATTAGATTCGTGGAATTGCATTAGGTCTCCAATGCAAGTTGTGAAAACTTTTAGAAACCGTGTTTTGTAGCGGGTCTAAAATATCTAGACGAATAATAACCAAACTGTTTATTATAATTATTCGGTTCAACCTTCCCCGCTATACTTTATATCTAAAGCAGAATACTTATTTGTATAACATGTTAACTATTTGCAGAAAATTTTTAGATCCGTGCTTTGCACGGGATTTAAATACTAGTAGACTTCAAAATTCAACCAACCCCAGCTTCGAGATCCCGCTCTGTAAACCATAAGTTTTTCTCCCTAAATACTTCCCAGAAGTTTCTCCGTCTCCTCCCCTTTTCTTTCATCAAACAAACCATAAACTTCTTCTTTCCCTCTCCTCACACTGGAAGTTCAACCCAACTAGCGAGGCGACGAAGATGCCACTCCGATCCTGCTTCATCCTCCGAATCGTCAGAGGCGACGATGACGACCCACGATTGGCTTCGAGCCCCAACAACATCTACGATGCGCAAAAGCATGGTAGATTTCCTGTGATAGTTTTCTCGATCAGGTAATTTCTCGCAGAATCTAGGTTTATTTCCCCCAACCAATCTTTGTCAAGGTGTTAAAATGTTTTCAAGAAAGTCATTATGATGCTTGAGGTATGTTCTCTGAATTAAAGTTTTTGTTTTTTGGGTAATTTTGGGAATGTCTCTTCGAATTACGATCTATCAATTCGATCGATCGAATTTTCTTTCCGCTCTCTCACCTATCTCCTAAAAAAGGGCGCTAACACACTTGGGGTTTCTTAATATACTCTTTGAAACGCATGAAAAGCTCAATGCTTTTTAGTCAACTAAGCTTTTTTACTGCTTGCCATCCAAAGAAAGGGAAGGGAATTATTATGAGTCGAATGAAGAGAACCCTATAGAACTTTTCAACGCGACAGGTATTTTTCCTTATTTCGTTTCTACTCCTATATTGACGTGATTTCTTGATAATCATAAGTAAAATGTCACCAATTAATTGTCATAATAAGTCATGTTCATATTGGCTATACTCTGAAATAAAGTCATTTGAATTAACAATATTTTTTTTAAACTTTTCCAATTGTTGCCTGAAATATGCCATTGCCTTGGATGGCTTGCATCTTTCTTAATTCAATTATCATGTGGCCGCCAAACGTCGATTCGAGTTGTTTCGGATACTGAGTTTTCAAACCTTTTTTCTTGATTATTTTGTGATATATTAAATGGATATTGTGTTACAATGGTTAATTTGAAGACCGAATGCTGTGAGGATTACAGCTGACGTACTCTCCTAACATTGCTGAAATAATGGCTCGAGCTTTGAAGAACTAACTCTCCTCATGACTTGTGTCTCTACATGCTCGTCCATTTCAAGAAGACATGGATATTTCGATCTGTGCAAAGGCAATGGTTAACTTGTCATTTTTCTTTAATCCTTTTATTTCTATTTTGGGCTCAGATTTCCTCTATTTCTCTCTCTCTCTCTCTCTATTTTTTTCGTGGGCGTAAAGATGTTATCTTTTGTTTGGTTTTATTGGCAAATGTGGATCTTTTGACGGTTTGTTTATGAAAGTTGTCTTTTTACTAAATTTGAATCTGGCAGTATCAATGGTGTTAACTCTCTGTAATTAATCCAAAGGATAATATAAGATTGCAAATTATTTAAAAACTTATTTTTTTAATTCAATTATCAATGTAGTCAAACGTGATTCGAGTTGTTTCATGGTATTTTTTAATTCAATGAAGTAAAAAAACTTAAAAATAACAAAAAAAAAATTAGACCAAATAATACATTACCACAAAACTGTTTTTATGTGGATTAAATTAACAGTATTGCGAATAAACCCTTTGTAATATCACCAATTGGCGAATAAGACCATTATAGTTATATTTTATTAACCACCTTGCGTG